TGAATATTAATTGCGAATTGGTGGTTATGTCTCTAATTATAGTTGCTATGGCTACTTCAAATATCTATAGCTACCAGTATGCTTTTCATCATTTCAGAGTAGCTAGATTTAATAGTGTAGAACATCTTTCAATACATTTTCCTAGTAATTATGGGGCAGAAACTACTTGTGTTTACTATATTGGTTTAAAAGGCGATTTTACAGAGGTAGGTGTCATCATAACAATTGCTTCTGTGCTAATATTTGTAGCCAAGAAAACAATTGCTACTCTGCTAAAACCTGTAGGAAAGACAGCTACAGCTTTACTGTCAAAACCATGTCAGGAATTACAAAAACCTGTAGCCAAATTAGCCAGTGCTACTCTAATACTTGTAGCCAAGTCAGCCATTGCTACTCTGCTAATACTTGTAGCCAAGTCAGCCATTGCTACTCTGCTAATACTTGTAGCCATGTCAGCCAATGCTACTCTGCTAATACTTGTAGCCAAGTCAGTCATTGCTACTCTGCTTATTCTTGTAGCCAAGTCAGTCATTGCTACTCTGCTAATTCTTGTAGCCAAGTCAGTCATTGCTACTCTGCTAATTCTTGTAGCCAAGCCAGTCATTGCTACTCTGCTAATACTTGTAGCCAAGTCAGTCATTGCTACTCTGCTTATTCTTGTAGCCAAGTCAGTCATTGCTACTCTGCTTATTCTTGTAGCCAAGTCAGTCATTGCTACTCTGGTAATACTTGTAGCCAAGTCAGTCATTGCTACTCTGCTAATTCTTGTAGCCAAGTCAGTCATTGTTACTCTGCTAATACTTATAGCCAAGTCTGTAATTGTTTCAGTTCTAAAACTTGTAGCCAAGTCAGCCATTGCTACTCTCTAATACTTATAGCCAAGTCAGTCATTGTTTCACTTCTAAAACTGTCAGTCGTCAATGTTATTGGGCAATTCTTATTGAAACCTTTTTTCTTTCAGGCAAGAAGACATGAGGTTACAATTTGTACATATGAAGCTCGAGCTAACCCGAGTGATCATAAAACAAATGCATTGGACACAGTCAATAGTTTAATTCAATAATAACAGGCCTTTAAATGTGATATGTAAAAACAGTACACATGGCGCTAATTGTGATATCTTGTGCATTTATGGAAGCTTGTTATCTTATGATGTTATGTTTTGTTTTCTGTTTATGTGTTCAGCAACTTATGTTATTTAATTTCATCTTGTTTTATGTGACCAAGTATGCAAGAGGAATAAGGTTTGTTTAAATAGTATTCCTTGGTGAAATATTGAAATTAAAAACACTTTGAACCGTGGCTTGCACTGACAATGGAAACAAGAGTAAGTGGATCTGATAAAACTCTTTATCAGTAATCACAGGTTGCTATCTTTGTATACAGTGTGAAAACATTGTATATTGTTACACTTGGTTTATTAACATCTATTGCTAAACACAAATAATTTTCAATTATGTTCAATAAATTTATGAAAAAAACAGAAACAAATTTATCATGCTTTAATAAAAACTAAATT